AAAAAAAAAAAAAAAAAAACACCCTGAGATATCACCTAACTCCAGTGAGAAAGGCCACATCACAAAGTTTCAAAGCTGCAGATGCTAGCGTGGTTGTGGAGAGAAGAGAACACTTTTACACTGCTGGTGGGACTGCAAACTAATACAACCTTTATGGAAGGAAATATGGAGACTCCTCAAAGAACTCAAATTAGACCTCCCATTTGATCCTGCAATCCCATTAATAGGCATATACTGAGAAGAAAACAAATCATTTTATCATAAGGAGATTGCACTGGATTGTTCATTGCTGCTCAATTTACAATTGCCAAATTGTGGAAACAACCTAAATGCCCACCAACCCAGGAACGGATTAACAAGTTGTGGTATATGTACACCGTGGAATATTCTTCACCACTAAAAAAGATGGAGGCTTTACATCTTTTTTATTAACCTGGATGGAGGTGGAACACATTCTTCTTAGTAAAGCATCACAAGAATGGAAAAGTAAGAATCCAATGTACTCAATTTTAATACGAAGGCAGAAGATGAGCTAACACATGGTGAGGAGTAGGGGAATGACCAAGTGGGGAGAGTGGAAGAGGGAGGGGGATGGGGGTCACGGTGTACGGCACACCTCTTGGGGGCAGGACACAATTATAAGAGGGAGTTTATCTAACAAATGCAATGAGTGTAACCTAATTCTTTGTACCCTCAATGAATCCTAAACAATAAAAAATAATAAAAAAAATTAAAAAAGGGCCAGGTACGGTGGCTCACATCTGTAATCCTAGCACTTGGCAGGCTGATGTGCATGGATTGCCTGAGCTTATAGGTTTGAGACCAGCTTGAGCCAGAGTGAGACCTCATCTCTAAAAATAGTCAGGCGCCTGTAGTTCTAGCTGCTTGGGAGGCTGAGGTAAGAAGATCACTTGAGCCCCAAGAGTTTGAGGTTGCTGTGAGCTATGATACCATAGCACTCTACCAAGGGCAACAAAGTGACACTCTGTCTCAAAAATAAATGAATAATAAGAAAAAGAACATAAGCAAGAGTATTGATTTTTAGTATATAATAAAACTCTCAATTCAAATTAGTGAGAAAATGAAGGATGATTACTTAAAGAGTACTATAACAAGTAATAAAATAGAACAATTAATTAGAAGAAATGGGTGAAGGTTTACCTAAATTCAGAATTTAAAAAAGCCCCCTAAATCAAAAAACAATTAAATGTGAAAATAGATGGGTAAGCTCATTAGATTAAAAGAAAGTTTTATAAGGGTTTTTTTGTGTTTTTTTTTTTTTTGAGACAGAGTCTCACGTTGTCTTCCTCAGTAGAGTGCAGAGGTGTCATAGCTCACAGCAACCTCAAACTCTTGGGCTCAAGTGATCCTCTTGCCTCAGCCTCCTGAGTAGCTGGGACTACAGGTGCCTG